TAATGTTAATCTAAGAGGGGAATTAACAAGTGATGAAAGGATGGAAACTGTACCTGGAGATTAAGAAAAGTACATTTCTGAATCAGCTTGCACACTGGGATTTTTAAAGACTTGTCTCTAAACTGTACACACATTCAGAAGACAGAGAGAAGTGTTGAAACCTATCTTTTTAAACGATGGATGGATAGAGATGGAGGGAGAGGTCAGATGAGAGTCAGTTCAGTAATCTGTTTGACCCACCATCCTTTCTCTCTCCATCCACCTCCCCTTGTCACTCCTTTATTGAAAAGATAGTGAGAAACAAGTTATACAGGTACATCTATAATATCAGCAGTGAGACAATTTCAAGCTCAGTGTGTCAGAAGGTCAATATATTGGACTATCTATGAACTGCCATTTTGTTCTCCCTGTTTCCATGCACTCCTATCCTCCTCCCCTCTTCTCTTCTTCCAAGACGACGTCATCCTTGTTCTCCATTTCCTTCCCACTCTGTTTTCCCCTCCCTCTCTTCAGTGTATACCCTGTGTTGAGGACCTGTAATGTCAGCTCCATCTTCTATTCTACGGAACAAGGGGTCTCCAGAAAAGGAGGTCCGGCACTCAGCTCTCCAGTACAGCTGACAGGAGCCTCTCAGACGGGGGGGATCTGGTGTGGACGGATCCCTGGAGCCTCGAGGGTGGGGGTGATGCTGGCTACCCAGGATGGAGAGGCACTTCTACAGAGCAGAGAATGATGTGGAGAGGCGTGGAGTGCACACTCACACACACTTTCTCACACATGCACACGTAGCCCTCTGGGAAAGCTAAAGAACGTAAGTGTTGTGAAATGAGACGATTGGAAGTGGAAGCAGAATTGGTGACCCGGCCTTCCTTCCGGCCAGTATGACTTCTGTCCAAGGTTGGACCCTATAGCCTTGGTTTGATAAATTCAGAGTGACAGCTTGTGTCAAGGTTAGCCTTGCTGCAGTGCACTGGTTTGCCACTAGCACTTAATTGTGCAGCTGTTGTATGAAACCACATGTCTTCCAGAGGAAAGGCAACAGTCATCTTCTCATTGATGCTTGATGATGGATTGTTTTGACCATTGATGTTTACAACCAGGGCGCCGGAGAACTGGCTCATGAATCAACATGCAGCTAGAACAACTCTAAATCTAATTTTAGTCATTTACAAGTTGAGCTGCCTGTGTGTTTGTGATTCCTTTTTGCCTGGTTGGTGAAAACATTTCTGATTTGGATTGTTTGCACAGATTTTCCCTCTTTCTCATAAGACCATCAGGCCTCTGGCTCTTTTATGCAACTTTCCAGTTTCCAGTTGTCCCTGGACTCATCAGTCAGCCATGAGCCACAAGTTTTCCAACTGCAAGTCTGGACCACAGTACAGTCAGAGCTTTTCATGTCAGCCGTCAATCTTAACTTGATGAGTGGAGCAGAGAAGAAGAAAGCAAGGTGGCGGTCAGGAGCTCTTAAAAGTGATATACTAGCTGCGTCTGAGCAGGACATTGGGTGAATCTGTGTGTGCGGACCATCTGCTCCGCTGAAATTAGCTGCCTACTCCAGTTAAATGCCTTGACAGCTTGCTGGTTAGGGAAACACCAACCTGATATTAACTCTTGGAGATGTATCAACCACAAGCTCTTTGGCTGCGTGTTCAAACCGTAGCAGCTCCTCGCGGGAAAGATCTGCTGCGAGTTCCCCACAGTGCTCAGAGTTAAGTGGGCTTTTAGCGCTGGGAGAACAAAAAAATGATATATATTGTTGACTTTAAAGCACTTCAAACAGGTTTAACATAGCAACAGCAGAAGCCATGACTAGCAAAGCTCTCAAGCACCTTTTCAGAGTTAAAAGAAAATAGTTAACATGGCAGAGGTAATTGCAAAGCACTAATGAAAAGGACTAAACTGGGACCACAGGAGTTCTCACAGTTATTCAAACACTAAAGAATAAAAATAAGAATGGCTCATTTGTTTCCGGATAACGTGTTTTGCATTGTTCTGTGTTACACGGTATCAGGCATACTGTACATCGATGACCTAACTTGAAGAAAAACAAGGGGGGGACATTTCTTTTGATTCCTTTTCACGTAGGCAGCTTGCCTGTCATCAAATTCAGTTCAACTCATGTTTTAATCTACACGGAAAGGAACTGAGCCCGGGCTTTCCTTAGGGTGTGAGCTACTTCCAAGGACATGATTTCATTTTATTTTTTTTGTAAAGGATGGCCTTGTTTTATTTTTCAACAATCCATAAACACAATTCCAGACACGTGGGAACCCTGAACATTTCCATTAGAATCAAACATCTGGCCAGGCAACCCAGCCCAAATGTTTCAGACATTACTAACACTGAGTAGAGAGAGTACATGAGAGAAATAAGAGGATGCTGTGCTGCCGGCCGGTTTCCTTGGATTGGAGTCTAATTGATCAGGAAAGGCACTTCAACTGTGCCTCTCAGCTCCTCTGAGTGTTGTGGCATTTGGACGCCTACAAACCTCCCCTGGCTTCTATATGAGGTGTAGGGAACAGAGTGACCTTTTAATGACAGGACCTTATACACTCTGCCACCTACCCCCCACACACACTTCACTCCTTCCAGTTTGCTTTAACAATCAGTTACACCTTCCCATCAAGCTGTCCTTTCCAACTATCTCATCTTGTGGCACTTTTCTTCAACCTCTTTTATATTTTTTTTACTTCTTTTAACAAACCCCTTTCCCTTACCTTTCCGTTATTGTTTCCCATATAGCATTAAAAACTTAAAATTACCTGGTGCCCTCACTAGTAACAATTATAATATATAAAACAACTCACTGACTCCATGCATTCATGGCATGTTGTTTTCACTCTTTTATATCATTGCCATCGTTTTTATCTTTGTTTGAGATGACCATTTTGAGTGACAAATAAATAAATATGTCACTTCATGGAAGCTGAAATGGGAGCTGATTGAGAAAACTATCAGTGGATTAATTGTAATTAAAAAAGAATAGCTAGTTGCAGCCATATTTTAAAAAATACTTTAAAGAACTAAAAAAACACCACATGCTCAGTGTAAAGACATTTAACCCTATCACGTATGTTTTAAGTCCCTCTAGAGATGTTATGGAATATCTATAGTAAATACATTTCTACTGTTATTCTTGTGTGGCATAAAGGGATTATAACTGCTTTCTCTTGTGTGAATAAACAACCTTGAGTGTGTCCTGTTCTTCATTTAATCCTCTCTTGCTCCGAAAGGGATGTGTTCTGTGTTTTTCTCAGTATTTAATGATGAGCAAGAAAACAATGTTGACAAACTAAAAATATAATCTTCAGAGGATTTCCTTACTCCCCCGACTCTACCCCTTTACTTATCCCCTTCTTCCCCCTCTCCTTATTTCCTCGTTCCTCATCCTGCAGAGAAAGAAAGTTCTTCTTCTTCACTTTGCACAGTAGCAGCTTAAGAGTGGCATACACACACACACACACACACACACACACACACACACACACACACACACACACACACACACACACACACACACACACACACACACACACACACACACACACACACACACACACACACACACACACACACACACACACACACACACACACACACAGGTAATTGCTGTATCTTTGCAGCATTATGAAACAATACGGCTGTCTTTTCAAAGTGAGCACTCCTCACCACAGGAAGTCTTTCAGTGCAGAGAGAAAGAGACAAGGGTAAGATAAATAATGTGTGTGTGTGGGGGCAGAGAGAAATGGAGGAGAGTAACAGGCAGGTAAGAAAGCAATTAGGTGGGAGGAGAGAGAATAAAAGGAACAGAGTGAGGCAGAAGGAAGAAGAGAGAGCACTATGAGAGGAACAAAGTCTCCGTCCCAACCTTCCTGATCCAGAATCTTCCATTACATGATCGTTTAAAACCCTTCATGCATGTTATTTTTGTTTCCTCAAGGATCATACTGTGTATTTCCTTTGCAAAAAGGTTGAAATATCATCAAAGTGCCTTTTAAAAAATCACTAACGCTTGTCATCTTATACTCAAATCCCTCTTCACTTTGCTACAAGACATTTCTCAAAATACATTCATATTCCAGGAATGCCATATATGAAATGTGAAGCTATAACAATGAGAAACAGACAGTCAATCTGAGGGTATAGAATGAAATCGAAATGAATGGAGGAGACAGTTAAAATATGTCTTAATGAAATCTTGCACTGACTGTCACATTTGTTTATTTTCCCACACTCTGCTAAAGCCGATGTTGTCAACAAATATCACTGATGGTGTTAAAGTGCAACATGTTTCATTCAATGTTTAAATTAACAGCAACACATAAGTTTGATTATTGTTAACAATAAAATAGTTGTGTCATTCATAAACAAATGGGAGCTGAAAATGTAATAAATTATGCCTATGGCAGCTACACAGTTGCCACGTGGAAACAACAAGAGCTGTGATTGGTTGGATCGGGCTGCTTGTGTTTTGAGGGTCAGTAATCTGCTGCTTTTTCAGGAACACACAACAAGCAAAGCCTAACTACCTTCAGCTCTCCACAATCACTGCAACTAATGAAAGCACAGAAGAAGCATGGTGGCTGCACAAAGCAAAGTAGAAGTCACCAGGATGTAACTTCAGATATATTATAGTAAAATCACTCTATATCACAAAGTGACAGAATGTAAAAGCACGACAACATCATTTAAACATCTATTCACACTTTACATTATAAATATTTCTTCTGTCTCGTGTTTTCTCTTTCATTCACGTTTGTCCAGGTTTCCCACCGCTTCACAAACATCTGATTCAAGGACTTTTCAACGACTCACCAGGCCGAATAACCTCAAATGCAAAGACCGCACACAGACATGCAATAAATGTAAATGATTGTTAAAAGAGGCTCACAGTCAATAAAGAGGGGCAAATCGGGGTGGTAGCTATTCCTTGAATAAGTTAGTGGAAGAGCTTAGTATGAAATAAAGAGCAGTGTGTTTAACTTCCTGCCGGTCCTTACCGTCGTCCTCCTTGCTGTGTGTGTTCTGCGGACTGTGGCGCATCCTCTCCCCTCGGCTGGCCGGGCTCAGGTCAGACGCTGCTCCCAGATCAGCTGCTAACCATGTGGGCTCGCTCATCTCTGCCTCCTCCTCGCTGCTCAGTGAACTGTCATCCTGCAAAAGGAAAGAACAAACAGGAAAATAAGATATCTATATTTGCATAATAATCAAAAAGTATTTATATAGATCCAGACAAAGGGAATAATTATACAATCTGATAAGACCACAACATTTCATTTTTCAGGCATTGATCCTCAGAGAAATCCAACGGTCAAGAATCTTTAATAACCAGAAAACACATTTGATCTATTAAAAGGGAATGTGGTTATTGCTGGTAAACACTACATACGAATTCAAAGTCTTCAGATTGCAAAAAAGCGTATGTCTTACAAAAGCGTCTGTCTTACAAAAGATTACCTTGAAGTTGATGTGGTCTGCACTTCACACAGGTGATTGGCAAAGTGATTTACTGACAGTAAGTATTTGAAAAATGTTATTTCCTTTAACAAATATTTCACTAAAAATAATTCTTGCTTCAACCTGAGATGTTTTATACAACATTTAATGTCAGATGTACGCATTTATGACATTGTAAGCAAAGTTGACTTCAAACCAAGGACGACTCGGAGAGTAACTTGACTGACAGCACAGTGAAACTTTAAGATCTTTTGTAAGAAAAAAGCAACATTGAACCTTTGTGTATGCTTTTGTCTGATTTAATCAAAACAGTGCGGAGGCAACACCAAGTGCAGATAGCATCTCACAACGCAATTATCTTCTCTTGCACTTTATATGTCCTTGCTGCTATATTGTATTATATATAGCAGCAACTTGTATCATTACATTACATTGCATTTAGCTGACGCTTTTATCCAAAGCGACTTACAATAAGTGCGTTCGACCAACAAAATACAAACTTGAAGAAAACAGAATCATATAAGTACATCAGGTTTCATAGAGCTAAAACATTTCAAGTGCTACTCAACTGGCTTTAGATAAGCCATTCCTTTATTAGTATACAAGTGCTTTGTTAGTAATTCTATCGCTCGAAGTGGAGTCGAAAGAGATGAGTTTTCAGTCTGCGCCGGAAGATGTGTAAGCTTTCTGCTGTCCTGATGTCAATGGGGAGCTCATTCCACCATTTTGGAGCCATCATCATCATGTTCTTAAATGTTTTATGTGAGGGACTGCGGATGGAAATTAGCTCCGAGGTCAAATCCGGCATATTTACACTATTTGCATTTTCTTGTTTTAAGTGTTCATTAATGTGCATTGTCCCTGCTAAATAAAAGATTAAATGAAATGAAAAACAAGGACACATTTATCGCCTTCCCTTTGTGCCTAAAAGGCTCCTTTTAGCATTCTGCTACTCTTTTTACCCTTCAAGTGCAAACAAATGGCAAAACACATTAGTGTAGATCATGATAGAAGTGTTGAAAAAATGTTTCCCCACTTGCAGACGTGTCATAAAAGTAAAGCAGTAGGAACTATAAGGAAGAAAATAAGTCAACCGTAGAAGAAGAACTCGTAGAAAAAGGAAGGAAAGACTAAATCAACCAAACTGTCTCTTTTGTAAATCCATCCGATTATCCACCTTTTCATGAATGAAAATGTTTCGAGCCCTTTTTAATCTTTCTATTCAGCATCCAGGCATGACAGCTGCTCCGCCGGTTTAACCCAAACATCAGTGGAAACAAGAAACACGAGGCAGGGGAACAGCAGGCAGGCAAATCAAACACAACATGCGTCTCAGTGTGCAGCACCTGCAGGCCTCGCTGCATAACTCTGAGCGCCTGCCTTCCACCTCACACACTTTCCCTCTGTTCAAAACATGAAACACTCCCAATGGAAACAGTTTGCCAGTAAAGAGTTTCCAAAAGCTGAGCATGAACGTTTTTATGAAATAGATTTAACGGCTGTTAGATAAAACTGTGACTGACAAAAGCATAACAAGATGTACAGACTGAACATAAAGTGAAGTTTAGAGATGATTCAAGACAAAGGAAAGACACACGTGGGAACACAAATTGTGAATAATCTTCATTCAAGTTAAGGAGTCACAAATGTAAGCTCAGCCTGAAGCTAAAATACTTAATTTCCTATGTCAAGGTGACACATGGAGGAAAATAAAATATAATTTAAAAAAGGTAAAACTGTGAGCCAGGTAACAGCAAGAGCCACAATAATCATGAACAGATAAAACACTAATCACTGATATTTGTACAATTTAGGACGTGTATACTGCACAATATTATAGGGTTAGGCAACTAAGTAAGTTTAAGACAGTGGGTTATAAAAAGCAAGAATAATAAATGTTGATTCCTGCATTAAAGAAAGATATTCAACACGACCTTTATGACCTCTATTTCCTTTACATCTCTCTACGAATACACAATACCTACAATATACCTTCAATATGTACAACAGTCCTGTAACTTGAACCAATAATTCAGGGTCTTTATGTGTATTAAAGTCTTCTGAGAAAACATAAAAGACTGGATGTTCCATAACCTACTAAAAGACAAGACTTCGGTTAATAAGCCATGAACATGCCCCAGAAACAAAGAGCTGAAACTTCATGACCTTACTCAGCGACAATCAGCTACAAGAAATCTGCAAGTTATCTTCCACTCCGCAGGAACACACACACACACACACACACACACACACACACACACACACACACACACACACACACACACACACACACACACACACAGCTGTTATCAGCATCTAAAGGAGACCTGCACTCTCAGTAATGAGGCCCTAAGTGGTACAACTGCCTTTACTACACACACATGTTCACACACAAACACATGCAAAAAGAGATTAATGAATGAGCAAAGGCCTCGACGACACTGGAGCTAAGTAGCAGTAAACTGGTCCTTTCTTCACTGTTGTGGCGTGAGGCTAAAAAGGCTGAAATAAAAGGTGGACTGGCAGAGCAGCAGCCTCATGGCACAGAAGTCACATTTATTTTCTGGTTATTATACATCCGTGTCACCCTTCACTCTGAGCAGTGTACGATGCATAATTCAGCAGTTTACATGTGACAGTGAAAAGAATGTTGCAGCTAATGAGCTGCTCTGCAACAGGATTGGCTGATAAAAAAAAAGGTGAAGAATAAGTGTTCCACTTGGATAGCTGTTTGCATATGCAATCAAAGAGAAAGTTAATTCATTCCTGGGGGAATCTACGTGACTGCGGATCTGTTTTTGTAAAGAGTTAAGGTAGTTGAACATATTGTGAATGTATTATTATTTTTGCTAAAAACGAATGGTTATCAAAACCTACACCGCCTAAATTCAAGTTAAATTAAAGTGGAATAGTTCATCATTACATTTAAAACAGTGCATTATTGGTCCCGTTTTGTCTCGGTTTTGTTCAGGGCGCATATTCGATTAATAATTAATAGTAATTAATTAATAGTTTTGCTAATACCGGTGGTGTTTCTATCCTTTGATAAAGAGATTATTTTCATTGGGTGGATCACCACAGGGCATACTTCAGATACAAAACTGTGTGGAAACCAGGCGATGGACTGCATGGAAATATGTACGTTTACTAATTTAGTCTATAAAGTTTTTACCCATACACTATTTATACATTATACATAAAAAGGGATTTTTGTTGGTCTTTCTTCTACTTCTACGAGTTTACATTACTTGATTGTTTCCTCTTGATTAATTGCACAAAAAAAGTAAAGTGACTCTGCTCATGTAGCAGAGGGGATCATGGGAGCAGAGTTTGGATGGGGNGGGGGGGGGCGTCTGGAGGTCATCAGGTTAACGAGGAGGTTTGGGGGTAGGGTAGATAAAGCCTAATCTCTTCCCCTGAGCACGTATAGCTTTAAAATAAGAAGCTTTTTTGTACATGTCAAGTAACCACAGTGAGTTGCATTATTTCAGCACAGAAACTGTTCTTTTCCATTCAGTAATTTGCAGCCTCATAGATAATTTTTCGACACCTTTTCCTCCCATGTCATCAATTCCCAACATGTAGTAAGAGTAACGACATCCATGTTATATATATTATCTCTTATATTTATCCAAATATAATGTGCTTCATAGCTGTTTCAATCTGAAAACGTAAAAAGCGTTCACAAACTGTCCATCTTAGAGGTAAAAACCATCCTACGTTTTAATAATTAGTTGATGTGCTGTCTTCTCGTCAAATACCCTAACCAGCCAGAGGGAGAGTTCAAACTACAGTAGGATGTTTCTCTTTAAATCAACAGAAAACCTTCATCCATGCTCTTTTTCGCTGTCACTGCACAATCAATTAAAAAATGAACTACCGCAGGGGATTCCACGGCTCCCACTGAAAGAGAAAAAGACACTTGTATATAAACAACTCTTGGTGTAGCTCCTGCAGTGAGTCCATGTGGCAGCACTGACCCATATCTGTCCATTAAAGAGGCTTCTCAGAGGACGAGCTTCCCCCGGCTCGTCACACTGGATTAGCTTCCTTGCTGCAGCCAGACAGAACGACTACACTCGCCAACAAAAAGTGGAAGCATTGACGTAGATCTGAAACCAGCTAAGCTTTCCAGAGAGCTGTGTCATTAACTCTCAAAGCCTTCAATCCAGGGAAATTACGGCGTCAGACACCTAGTCCTGCAACATCGCATTATATTTCTAATGTGTCTACAACAGGCAGATGGTGTTTGAAATAAATTTTCAAGCACCTACCTACGTCTCATTTATTCTTCGTGTTGCAGGGTTCTGTGATCATCTGTTTCAGGATGTGAAAAACATATGCCATGAGTGTGTAAACCGAAGAAAAACAAGAAACCGAAAAGTATACAATAATGTTTATGAAGGTTTCTCATATTTTAAAAGTTGAATCCAATTAAAAGTTAGCATGTTGACTGACAGTAACCTTTAAAACTGTTTCTTTGATTTACTTGATTCATTAATTGATTCAAAAACCACAAACCACTTTTAAGCAAAGTAAAAAGGGTCCATTTCTTTTGCGCCAAATATCTGGAACAAACTCCCAGAAAACTGCAAGAAGAAGACTTTTCTGTCTGTTAATTCAATCAAATAATTATTCATGTCTTACACTGCACACTATTTTACTCAACCTTATTTTTTTGGCTTGTTTTCATGTTT